CAACAGCTGTCGGTTAACACTTATTTTTTGTTTTTTTACTGACAATATATTATACATATAAGTATTGAATTATTGTGGCGTGTATACATATAAGTATTGAATTATTGTGCGTGTTCAAATATAGGGCATAATATTATATAGGTAATATATATCAATAAATCAAACCGTACACAAGATTAGCTGATATTTGATTTTAGTTTTAGTTTTTAAGTAATGTATTATATTGTACGTGTATAGTTTTATATTTGGTGTACTAAGTGAATAGTTAAATAGTCCACAAACCATCAAACTCGCAAAGCTATAAATTTCTAATGTCGAAAGTCTGAAAGAATTTTAGTATACCTACATGTGGTATAAAATATTTACATAAAAACGTTGTGCAAAAAATATAAAACAATATCATCCAACAAAATTATGCCCTCTAGAGCCTAAAACAAGTTATATTCAGTCAGTATGACACAAGAAAGAATGTAGGATATTTGTGGACCATAAGACATCGTTTTCCAAATAAGTTGGCGTTTAGTAATGTTTACGACTTGCATTATTTAAACGAACAAATATTATATGAATAACTCGTATCCACGAGTGTTCAAAGTTTTAAGCTGGGAACACCTCCCACACGAACCTCAATAAACCGATACGCGTATGTCACTATATTATGATAGCTATTATACAAACAGAAATAATAACAAATATTTCACATTGATAATATAATAATTTATATGCATTTATATAATGCCTGTACGTACTTTTGAGCAACATATTGTTATTAATTTAGAACAATATTGTGACTCAAACGTGAGATTATCTCCAACAGCATTGGCATTACCTACTAAACTTTTCGTAACTACAGAGAATGCTTGAAAACCACAGGTTGAATTGTAGAATATTAACATGTGAGAGCTATGCCCAACACGTTATTATTCCCCGTTTCAATTAATAATTTTATATAAATTAACCCTTTTAAAAACATAAATTTAATTTCATATTTTTTTTAAACGTATAGAAAATTAGAAACACAGACATCTAACAAACAGAGTATAACAAACTAATAGCTAGGTGTTGAAAATTGTCATTCAAACTACTAATAAACTATAAAAACTACTGTTATTAAATCTTGGTAAAAATGTATAATGTTGATTAGGTAGTAATTAATAATTGCGAACTATGATTCTTCTCTGCATAGAATTTATAGTGTTACAACCTAATTATGACTATGAATAATATTACCCAAATATTTAGAATTGAGAGTGAAACAATATTGTGTAATCTGGGTCCTAGTTCATGATTAATTCAGATCATTATCGGCCTGTTTACAATGACCCTTGGGACTTACCCTACCAGCTCGTTGGAAAATGACGACAGTGACAAAAATTGTGGTTCGAGGGAAAGGGAAATGCAAGCCGTCATCATTTACCTATGAATCAGCATATAGGACGGTATTAGATATAGATCTGTCATCAGTGGTCCTGTCTAGCATGCCACCTGTAAATCTGTTAACCCTGAACCGCACCAAGGTATAGCAAAACATAATAATCGATTAAATTGAAGCCATCGACGAGGAATGAGAGAGAATTACTATACGTGAGTGGCAACAAAGATGATAAAGTATAGTAAGCAGAGCAGGGTTGACCAGAAAACTCACAGCTGACCTGATGCAAAAAAAAAATGGAAGTAACTACCACCTAACTAAGGTACTAACAACATGGGAACTTTAGGAACTATTTGGGGGATAAGCTCTTGGGCGTAACTTGGCAATTTTTACTTGGCAAAGTTTATCTTTTGCCGTATGCTTAAAGAATAGATATAATTAATCTGTGGAAAGTATAGCCATGGTGTTTCTCATAAATGGTTTTAGGTGATGAAGAGATGAAAACGAACGTTCACTAGAAGCAGAACTCATTGAAATAGAAAAAAAATTATAGATAGAGTATATTATATAATATATTATCAAATGAGCGAATTAAGTTTTTGTCCACATACAAATTTAAATAGACATTTTTAGCAATTTAAATAGAGATTTTTTAAGCTTCAAGATAAACTATTGTTAAAAGCTCCCGACAATTTACAAACCGATATCACAACATCTTGAAGTTTAGCAGTAAATATAATTTGTATGTGTATAAATTATTTTTATACTATACCTTCTATATATACTTATCTATATAATGTTAATAGTTAAACAGTGACTAGTTTCTTTTATAAATATATATCATTGTATAATAATGGCTAATAGATACAAGTGGAATAATTATTTATATAATAAGCGTTAGACAAAAAACTAAAATAACTTGGTAAACTAAATTTGACTTAACTATAGCAGGTACTTATGATAATAAGTTTTTGTTTAATTTGATTTTACAAGCACACGACTATATTTATATAAATAAATTGTAGTTTTTTATTATTATTATTATTTAATAGGTAAGTACATAATTTAATAATATCAAACTACGCATATGATTATCCAAGTAAAATCAAACTATTGACTTCTGACCGAGTTCAAAAATATAATGTGGATTTTCTACACATATAGTTTCGATTTACCACATAGGTAAACGGTATTATCGTGAAAAAAAAAATAAAATATAAAAAAAAAACCACGTTTTCACGCTTTCGAACGAACAAATCGTTGGTTTACGCGTTTGAAATAATAAATTGTAAGCTGATACGAACGCGGCTAGGTATATAAAATCCGGTTATACACTATGATCACTAGGTAATACTCATATCGCGAATACTTTCCATATATTTATAAGTTTTATAAATTTAAATGTTTTCTTTTATTAATATTTCATAGTATGGTGTGGTCATTCAAAATTTGTCCAGGACCATGTAAAGGTTAGGGAATGAGGTATGTTGCTACGTCCTCTCTTACCATGAACACTATTGTTCAATTTACAGTTACCATCAACTCAAACCCCTAAAGAATCTAATAATTATCAGTCTTGGATCGGTGTATCTAAACCGAACTTCTAGACTATCCCAATACTGAGCCCTATATAGACACACTACACACAGTGGCCTTGAACCTACCCACCATGCGACCGCCTACTTATACACCGCCATTATACGCATCTATATATCTGTTTTACTATTGGTCTGTTATTATTAGGTATATTATCATTTATCAGTTGATATCTATACATGGTATGTATTATACAGACATAGACATCGTATCGCCAAAAGCGTCTCTAGACCCATTGTAAGGGGGGGCAACATTGTCTGGTAGAACTCTTTCAACACTCTTAGAAGGACGCCGTATTCGTATTAGGAAGATCCTTTTCATTGTTAGTTTTAATATTATGAACTTACATATTACCTAATTTTAAGGTATGAATAATATTTATTGTGCCCCCGCAAAGCTTTTGTATATTTTGTTTTAAGTTAAATTATTATTATGTTGAATATAAAAAATTTACAATTTAAAAATGCTCATAACTTGATTTAAAATTAAAATATCAAAAATCCTACATGGTGCCCTAAATAATATTCCTACTATTAAAATTAAGGAATAAATTAATTAACTATATCCATCAAAAATAACTAGTAAGTAAAATGGATTATTCTTAGAGTAAAAGTTGTCTATTATACCTTAGTTAGACAGATACAATATATGCAGGTACGAGAGACCATATCCATTTGATATACCATGAGGAAAATATTCCATCCACTGCGTACTGGGATTCACCCAATAAATTGACCGCGCTAGACGCGTTGCTATGGTATTGTTTGAAAAGTTATTAACACCGAGATTAAGAACAAATCACAATCCGATTGCGTGTAGCATGACAATCAAGGAACCATACACATTGAACAATATATTGAGAGGTTGCTGCTGATCGTATTGATTAAACGGCCACAACGCGTCGGATACGACAAACGCAGTACCACCCCCCTCCCCCATAAACTGACACGAAAAAAAATGATCGTTGTAAGTGATAGTTATTAATTCGATCTTTTTCCAAAATCTGTTGATTTTCGCAAATAGGTATCATATTTTCATTACATCATAAAACCGAGTGTGCAATTTCGAATTTTAAGACGTTCGATAATTCGGAGTGCAATCGCGTGTGGTGAAAAAGTATGTACACAGTCAAAACGTTATGATAATATAATGAATCGTACGGAACACTGTTGAACTGTCCCACACCCAAGACATGATTAATTTAAATTGTTCAAAAGATAACAATTTCCTATAATCTTGGACCAATTTTAAATAATATTATTTTTATTGTAGACTGCAGAGAAAATAAAGAAGTAATAGTTTTTTTTATCAACTCATAACTTGATATTAAAACAGAGCTATTATTTCGTTGTGGCATAGGTACTGGCATTCAATTTATAATATACACAACGTAAGCACCTAACCTATAACCTTAATTTTGAAGCAAATTATGAGCATTTTAAAATTTAAAATATACACTCATACTTGTTTTTAAAATAAAAAAAATCTTACATGTTACACCTAAAATATAGTATTCCTGCCTTTGAATTTAAAAATAAATAAATTGACTAATATTAAAAACTAGTGAGAGAATGATTTATTCTAGTGAAATTAGCTATTGTGCTTTGGTTGCGACAGAGCCAACACAATGCGGGTACGACACACAGACACAACTCCCTCGTAGGAGGTTATGAATAGACAAATATTTATGAATTTTAACGAAAAATTAAGACAACCAAATATAATTTTAATTTATTAAAATATAACCATTTAACTTATTATTAGTACCTAGTTATAGTATGTATATAATTAATATGCATTAATAATTCATATACCAATGTTCATTAATATTAATATAGGTAATCAGTAATGACGATAACAAACTATAACTCTTTTTTCTCCTCATATTTTCCACCCTCTGGTGCGTCTTCCAATACATAATCATGCCAACTATGATAAATTGTAATAGATAATAATAATATGCTGTACATTAGTAAATAATTACGTCTTCATAATATCCTTGTTTTTAAATTCAATGATTATTGCATCGTTGTTATCGAATGGTCGTCTCTACTCCCGCAGCCCGGTTCTCATCGCCGATTGCCGGTGGTCGCTCATGTTCGTTGATCGGTACAAGTCTGCTCGACGGGCCCGCATGTAGGAGTTTTGACAACCGATTCGGTTCTTCGATGCAGTATAAATTGATCGCAGGTGTGATTGCCATCACATTTCCTGTCGTATCGACGGAGTTGATAGTCACCGGAAGACTATTCCTCGGCATTGGGTTGCGCGCACTGTCCGCCATCGTGTGCCCGCATACGTCAGCGAATTCTCGGACCCGAAAATCAGAGGTGAATACTATACACATTATTTTTTCCTTAGAACTTAAAAAAGAAAAAAGTTTTATAAAACCTATACCTAAATACACGATATATAGGTATACCGTGTACCTAAATACTAATATTAGGTATATAGTAACATAATATACTAGGTACCACATAATATTATGGTGGCTACCCGGTGCAAAAAAATCCTACAAAATTTCAATAAAAATAAACTAGATGTAGTTTTTTTTATCGTGTGCATCAAATTTTTATCATAATTTGATCGCCAAGATCCAATTAATTTTTTTACCATAATCTAAATATGAATTATGTAATTATTATTTATTTATGCATGATAATAATAACAATAATAATATCTAGAAAGACAGAAAGCACTTATTATATTCTAACCAATTATACTACATTATGTTTAAACGAATGCATATGATTATTTTTAAGGTAAAACCATAAGGAATAAGCTTAATAACAGCTATGAACTAACTAATGGTCTTACCAGGTGTTTAATTTCCATACGAAATGTACAAGTTTTTTGGTACTGAATATGTCTTCTTGGTTTACTTTGTATGAAAAATTGTACCAGAAACAAAAAAAATAAGTTTTTCACAAGTCCAGTGAGAAATAGATGCTAGTTTTGAAATTTTATCTTACATACCAGTATAATGTAATATATAGTGCCATACTATACTGTATATAATGGGTAACCTGGTACGAAATTTTCATTAAAAACTAAAAAGTGAAGTTGAAGTTGAATAACACTATAATAACACTACTTAGTGTTTACTTATTTAGTAAAACTAATAATTTCTAAACTATATAATACCTACCAAGAAAAACTAACCATTTTTCATTTTAAAATATTAATTGTTACCATATTATATTTTTGTGAGTTATTATATTATAATTTCATAAGTGAAAACGAAAGTTTCCATGACCAGCTGTATGTACCTATATGTAACGATATAAACTATATTTTATATTGAATCTATGTGTAATAAAATAATATGTAGAGCCTACAACAATAACATCTAAATAGTTATTCTATCATTAATCTATATAGACTATGGTTATACTTTAAACCACTGAAACTATTAGTTTGACATAGCTGAATCAGAAATGAGCTCCATTGGATAACGTTATATTATGTTGTACTTATATACGTCCACTTTTATCTCGGTTTCTATGTACCAGCACTACCTAGCTGTCCCAGCTACCTACTTACTAGTCGCTATACTGTCTACCTATAGCAAAACGAGTTAAGAGTAAAATGAGTTATCTTCAACGTGATATTTGTGAATAAAGTACTGAACGGAATTTGGTTCTATGTATACATAATTTGTCAATTAAGAAAATTCATGAGTACCCGGCAATTGGATTATGAATTCCTGTTTAGTACAGACTTAAACATTCGACAAATTATTCATACAAGTATTTATAAAACGTTTCATCGTTTTATTTATTTTTAATAAACAACATAAAACAACTATACTCTTGCTATAACAGTGATCAAACAGAATTGAACGTCGTGGTTAAATTATTTAATTTGCATAAACTTGTAAAGAAACCTTCTGGGAAGTTTATCGAATAGTCAATTTTATAAAATGAAAAACAAACTATGGCAGTGACTTTCAAATGAAAAAAAAATAATTTATAACCAATGATAAATACTAAAATAATATACACGACACAACCACATTTATTAAAGTTTTATTGCACTGTTAAATTTAATGAAAAAGTATTGATTAAATAATTTTCACTAACCAAACTACTTTTCGCCCTCTGAAATGCGAGATCTGATGTATTTTATCACACAGGAATTATATTTTTTTTTATATAATTCAATTGCATTATTACCCCCCTGGTGTTTAAGCCCGCATCATTGAAATTACCTATATTTTGATACAACCATCAAAAAACTTAAAATAATAATTTTTATTATATATATAAAAAATGATGGATTTATACACAAGTAACAAAAGGTATAAGTACATAATAAAAAAAATGTATCAATTGTTTATACACAAACTTGAAAATATCATTTCTAAACTTATAAACTCACAAAATTCTTACTTTATGATAAAAAATAAAAATTTTAAAAAAATTGGGAAACACACATTAGATGATTAATTTTAAGCATTATTGCCTTTATTAAATTACCATGTAAGTTATCAGTTATCACAGAACAATATTATAAGACAATTTAATATTTTAGTAAAGAATTGTGCAATGAGTTGCAGTTATTTCGCCCATGTAGATTATAGTCGTAGATTCGTATAACAAGAGTTATGATAAGCGTATAGTAAAGCGTAGACGCATAGTTGACATTTTTCTATGGCTATCACTTTTTCAGTTGAGAACAGTGTTTCAAAATGTATACACAGCTCTGATTATTCATAAATTTAAAACTAGGCACAGATGGGTAGTTTCTTTAGAAAGTAGGTTTTTGATTTTTGCCAGTAGTTTAAAAAAACACTTTAAAATACTTCGGAAAAAAACTATTCAAATTATGGGACGAATATGTATAAGTTTATTTTTTTATCATAGATTTATGTAGACTTCAATACTTTATCAAATTTTATAACGTGGAATAGAATTCATTCGATTATAATACGTTATTGAGAAACCAATTGATTATTATACTTTTTAATACAGTTAAATGTATATAAAAATAACACTAGACACTTGTAATTGGATGAATTGCGTGAATTTCGAATTCAGCGAAACTTATTCAATAAGTAATCGAAGTATTTTACTACTTTCCACATAACATATTGTACTTTTAAAACTGTAAATAAATATCGTATCCTTTTCCGTGAACCATATAATTCGTGGGCTTTATTTATTCATCTTTCTTCTGGTATTTCTATTATTCCATTTACGACATATCCATTGATACGTCATCGCGAATCACACCTAAACCTCTTGGTGGCGTGACGATGTCCTTGGGGCTTAACATTAGCCGTAATCTTGGCCTAGACGGGATATTATCGAGAAACACTTAGCTGAAAATCCTAAGGACGGTTTTCAAAGATTTTGTTTTTGGAATAACGGTGGCTGCTGCAGTGGGAGATTGGGGTACGTTAATCCCCGAACAATCAAACGGAAGGCGCCTGGCAGAAAGGTTTCTAAAAATAGCGGAAAAGAAAGTATAAACACATCGCGCAGACATTTGTAACGTTAATACGACTTTTATTGATTATTTTTCCAACCCATATACGTTATAGTCATCGTGCCGTGCAAAACCAGAGTAATGTAAAGGGTCGGAGGAGAGAAAAAGAGAAAAGGCAAGGACTCGTTTTAAACCTCAAATTTGTTTTCCCGACAAAACGCATTAGTGGACATTATACACTCATTTTCGGTTGTAAATATACAAACAGACTATGTAGACCGTTTCGCCACTTTTCAATAACATTTCATAGCATAAAATATTACTAACTATATAGTAATTATTTTTGACCCCAACAATTTCCTTAATTTAAATTATTTAAAAACTGACCATCAGACACTAATATAGCGTGGCGAACGTTCTGCAGGATAATACCTGCACACTGCATTTAATGAATTTTGAATATTTAACGTTTAACGTAATAAATTAATGTTCAAAATATATTCAACAGTGTCCTTTCCTTATTTTTTTGAACAGATGCATAGGAGCAGCAGATGGTGCGCATTTACTGCTGCTGCACCTGAATCGTACCCATGGGCCAGATTGTAATTAGAGAGGCCCCGAGTTATTCGCTACTCGACCGAAACTTTTTTGTTACACAAGGTAAAGAGTACATTTATTTATGAGTAATAATTATTAGGTGAGTTAAAAATACAGCATTTTTAAGTCATAGCACGAGTGAAAAGAGTTTTATCGCCATGTGTAATTTAGTTATTGGTTAAATTTGTCGTTTGTGTTTCATTATCGGGCTTAATTATCTTTTAGCTTACATTATATTCCACTTTCAGCTAAATCTATAAACGCACTGGATTCATAATGATATAATCATTGTTATAAATAATCGTCACAACTTACAACATGAACACATGGTACTCTGCAACAGTAAATGAAAAGTCAATAAATAAAAATACATACTTATGTATATAGTATATGCACATAATATAATACGAAGTACTTATTGGGTATTATTTTAAATTGTTTAACTTTATGCAACACCAACCTTCAAATATTCAATCCTTCGGTAGACAAATTTATTTTAAATTTTTATAGTGTTGGCACTATGGTGGGTTAGACCTACGATGCAGTCAGAAATGTGCAAAAACAAATTGTGTTTGAATAACTGCCAAAAAACATGCCAAATTTTCAGATATGCATTTTGTAATTAAGTACAGTGGACAGAATAAAAGTTTTTACGTAATATCAGATTAAGAATTTTAAAAAAAACATTGGATTTGTTTCATAGTCTTTATATCAGATAATATATTATACAGAAATATTGTTCAACATCATTGCGTAGTAATTCAAAAATAGTATTTATTTTTACCAAAAGTTGTCTATAAATATTTAGTATAAGTAGGTAGGTAAGTAAAAAAAAAAAATATAATAAATAAATTATGGTTAATTCAAAATTATAATAAAGTTTACGACATGTGTCATAATTCGAGTTTTTGACTTTGTTACAAATTAGTGAAATTACAATGTCACAGTTTTAGTAAAAATTCAAATTATTTTGTTAGCAGGGCCGATTACTGCAGTCACCAATAGTTTAAGAAATAAGAAATGCACACATGAAATATTTACAATGACATTACGCAGGGTTCTGACTTAGTTGTTTACTACGTTTTATTACATTTTATACACATTTTAAGTATTATTTCAATACTCTTTAATACAATACATGTGAGTCAATAATATATAATGTATCAATGTAAATTATTCCATTGTTCGGTTTTGGTTGATAAACTGTTATAACTTTGATTGAGAAGAACGTTAACTTTGGAATGCTGATTTTATACC